ATGCTTGCAGCTTCCTAATAAGTTTCCCATGTGTGTGTGCGTATTGAACGATGTACGCATGAAAAACCTACCCTATCTTCTCCTAAAAAAAAAAAAATCTAATTGAATGAATTCCTGCAAAAGCTTTAAGAAAAACAAATGTTTACTATATGGTGGATATCTATGCAAAGTCCACAAACACAACGAATAATATAAAAATGCCAAATTATCAAGATAATCTAAGGTCATTGAGACAAATCTGCTGAATGGCCTTCTCAGCCACGGCTGCCTCTTCTCTTCCAATGAATCACAAAATAGTGATGCAATATCGTCTGGAATTTTCTTATCTTGTGAAGTTTATCTCCAATCTAAATAAACACATTAATGATACAAAGCTGTTTATTGATAAAAGGAGATACTAAGTATCTCTCAGATAAAATTTTAGCACGAGATGAAACCAGACATGTCGCATATAAAATTTTAGTCAGGGATAAACGATAACGAAGTTAATTAATTCTCGTGGAGTAGAAAGATGATTTGAAGTTGAAATTTTGACACATCTCATATTCTGAGAAAGCTAAAATGTGCATCCATTTCTCAACAGAAGGTATAAAATGCTGACAGTAGTTACCGTTATTAGCTATAATGCAAATTTATAATCATCTTATAGAAGAGAATTTGCGACGTCATGTAAAATGAAAACAGAAAGCAATTGTTGAAATATAAGGTCAGACCTCTACTCCATAGTAATGGAGATAGGAGCAGGACAAGATATTTGTACATCTGTTCTGTCTTCTCTTATATCCGTATTTCATCGATGATGCATATCTTTACTGTTATTACATTATATATCTACATCACATGCATATGAATATAATAATTATGATATGGCGGACAAGCAGTATGTTTCAGCAAAGTACAGTCTCTAGGTTTAAAAGAGAATAAGAATAATGGTAATAATAAAAATGATGATAATAAAAATAAGTATAATATTAATGATAATAATAATAATAATAATAATAATAATAATAATAATAATAATAATAATAATAATAATAATAATAATAATAATAATAATAATAATAATAATAATAATAATAGTAATAATAATAATAGTAATGATAATAATAATAATAATAATAATAATAATAATAATAATAATAATAATAATAACAATAATATTAACAATTATAATAACAAAAATAATAATGATTGTTCCGGTTTCAAGTCACGGACTCCCTTATCTACTAAGGGCTAGGACAGTTGCCTTCTAACTAACCTCAGAGCATGGCGGAGCGCAAAACCTCGACTTGACGCCTCAAGTCGCAGCCGCCACCGACTACAACAACAACAATGATAATTTTTTTGTTTTTTCACCATACGCCTGAATAGATAGTTCTCTATCTGTCAGTCGGCTGACTATAGTCAGCCATGCGTTGCTTGAGCAAAGAGGTTTTCTACCAGTGTCTTGCTAGGACTATCTTGGAAACCCTCCCCATTTATCCAGGCTTGGGATCGGCACTGAGCTAAGCTGGCCTACTTAACCCAGTGGCTAGGTTAATAATAATAATAATAATAATAATAATAATAATAATAATAATAATAATAATAATAATAATAATAATAATAATAATAATAATAATAATGATAACAAAAATAATAATAACAATAATAATAATAATAATAATAATAATAATAATAATAATAATAATAATAATAATAATAATAATAATAATAATAATAATAATAACAATAACTTATTATTATTATTATTAGTAGTAGTAGTAGTAGTAGTAGTAGTAGTAGTAGTAGTAGTAGTAGTAGTAGTAGTAGTAGTAATACTATTATTACTATTATTATTATTATTATTATTATTATTATTATTATTATTATTATTATTATTATTATTATTATTATTATGATTATTATTATTATTATCATTATTATCATTATTATTATTATTATTATTATTATTATTATTATTATTATTATTATTATTATTATTATTATTATTATTATGTGCGTGCTTGTAGAAGATATAAATTGCGTCAAATATATAATGAATAATTCCATCCATAATATTTGTTCCGACATTCCGGTCTTTATTTATTATTCATTTTGCTTCTCCGATATTTAGACTTTAGAGATTATGATACAGACAAATTAATAGAAAAGCAAATATTTGTTAGACTAATGGTCCTCTCTCTCTCTCTCTCTCTCTCTCTCTCTCTCTCTCTCTCTCTCTCTCTCTCTCTCTCTCTCTCTCTCTCTCTCTCTCTCTCTCTCTCTCTCTCTCTCTCTCTGTGCATATATATATATATATATATATATATATATATATATATATATATATATATGTGTGTGTGTGTGTGTGTGTGTGTGTGTGTGTGTGTGTGTGTGTGTGTGTGTAATTACCTAATTGTGATTACCTAATTGTGTTTACGGGAAAGAGCCCAAAGCTCGTATCTTACCGTCTCCTGATCGGTTCCATTTTAGACTTAGTGATACTTATCATACCTGTCCTTAAAACTATGGATTGAGATAGCATTAACTACCTCCTCACTTAGCGAATTCCAATTATCAACTACTCTTAC